ATGGGGAATGAAAGCTTTCTTTGTTTGGCATAGTGACATATAGAATAATAATCTGAAGATGGTAGTGATATAGAATGATCCAATTCTCTCAAAAGTTTCAATCGAGTATTGGACAAATGCCCCATCCTAAATTGCCATATATCAATGGCATTAGGCTTATTACAAAAGGGAATAGAAATAGAATTACAAGTAATGGAAGAATTACAAGAAACAGAAGGTAGGGCAAACCTGTGGAGGCCATTAACCTTTTTAGTTAGTCCGATCATCTTCCAGCGTTGATGATCCTGGAGGATACAAATATTGTGTTGAAAAATGAGACAATAAGGATATGAATCAGTAAGTTTGCTAGTAGATATAAGATTGAAAGAAAAATGAGGTATATAAAGAACATTATGAAGTACAAAATTGGAAGAGAATATAACAGTTCCTATGTATGAAACAAAAACCTTTTGATTATTGGGTAAAACTACATGTGTATTTGTGACAGATGCATAGGTTGAAAAATTGGATAAACTATTGGTTATATGATCAGTGGCACCGCTATCAAGATTGGCATGCAGAAACAATATGGATACTGGGTTTTGAAACAGTATGGATACTGGATGAGGGGATGACAGAGAAGTACCATCCTAGAAGTTTACAGGATCACATGCCTAGATGTTTCTGCATGCCTAACCAAGATTAGTTATGAGTTTGTTAGCATTTTCTTTTTCCTTTCTTCCTCCTTTTTGCTGTATATAAACCCCTTCTGTATTACTCTTCAAATGAATAAAGAGCATTATCTCTCTACAAATTCTGATATGGTATCAGAGCTCTCCTCAGTTTCTGCTATATCGTTTTCCGGCATCGCCATTGTCATAGATGCGTTCAAGGATATTTGATTTTGTTTCTTGGAGTTGTTGTTGCTCGGCACCAACAAACTCCTCTGTTCTTTTCTTTCTCTTGCATGGCTCTCTACAACAACATCTGAACCGATTCAGAAATCTTCTCTTCAGCCAACCTCGCGGATCGCCTCGTACCGTGAACACGCGTAGCGGTATTTTCTTTTTGTTTCTCTTTGTCCTCCTCGACGTGGGTAGCTACCTTCTGACGAGTTGAAGCCACCATAGTTCTTCTCTGGGAACATTGGTTAATGGGTGTCACCAATATTTCTGTTCAGATGATTCCTCGGGTGCCTTATTTGTTTTCTTCAGTCAAGATTTCAAGATTCTTGAATCTCCATTGTCTCTTTTGATCAAGAATCCGCATTAATCTCTGGAGAATACCAATTACCCACCGGAAGGTAGATAAACCTCTCACCCACGGTCTCGACTCTAATAGTTGATGCATCATCCAAAACTTCGAAAACAAAGAAGAAAATCACTCCATCACATTTAGGCATGCAGAAACAATATGGATACTGGGTTGGACTATTGGATCGATATGAGGGGATGACAGAGAAGTACCATCCTAGATTGGGGATGAGATATGGCCATTTGTTACCCATTTTGTGTGTTGCAAGCCTTGCGGGAGCTATGGGGATTATCCTATTGAGAGGTGCCTGAAAAGCATGGAGAGAGCATTTAATTTTGTAGATAACCAGGTTCTTAAGCTATATGGGTTTAGGCACAAGGGCCTCATGAGTTCCCAGATCAAAAGAATCAGGAACGAAACGGCCTGTTGAGTCCCAGGATCTACGGTTTCCGCCATCAACTTCCTTGTTGAGGTTTGGCCAGAAACTTAACGTAGAATTTTGCTGGAATTTTGCACTTCTCGATCTGCAACGACTAAAATCTCCCATATCGTCAATGACCTGCAACTTCGACGAGTTGTGGCTTCTACAACTGTTCTCTTGACCAAACTAATGATGACACAATCCTGCTCACGGGCAGTGATTCTTACCTGGTTTATAGCAGAGGACTAAAGGGTAATATTGGGTTTAAAAAATTATACGACACATATTGTGAGTGAATTTTGGTGAAACAATATTAGGGGTATAACTAGTCAATTGTTAGAAATAATAGGGGTGGTTTAAGGCAATAGTTAAATAGTAAGGGTAGAATTTGTCAATTAACTAAGTAGTAGGGGCAGTTCTACAAACTTATTATGTCTTACCCAATAAAATTTTCTTTTCCATTTATTGTCGTTTGTTCTTCACTGTTTGGACACTACACTAGAGTGAGGCATCCCAAGTCCCAACACAAGACAGAGTAGTTGGATGATGTTGGACACAATTCAACCCACACTACTGGTCTACTAAACATATTAGAGATGCGATTAGCTGAACGCAATAGTTCTTGAGCAGGCTGTTGAACCAATAATAGTGCTCCACACCGGTCATACATTGACCCAAAACCACTCAACCTCCCACTATGGGGCCCATGCATTTTAGCACTAGAGTGGGGATGATATCATTGATTCTAGGGTTTTTAGTAGATAAGGGCAACTTTTTGCCCTTAATATCAATAAAAAATAATATTTTTATATAATAATTAAAATAGGGTAGTTTTTTTGGAAAAATATTAAGAAAGGGCATTGTCGCTCGTCTTCCTCCTCTGCCTCTGTATTCATGCAAATGGATCATAAGATTCTGGCCAAGTAATAACCGGAAATGATCTTCATGTCCCAAAAAGCAAACCGGTGGCCGTATTCAAGTCTTTGGCTTGTTTGCCGATCTTCGACAAGGTGTAGAAGGGATTTGTTGTTGTGTTGGTGGCATTGCGGTAAGACGCACCAAGGAAGGCGAAGACGAACTTGGGTGAGTTGGGCAGTAAAAGCATGATCACTTGACTTGTAAATGAATTCCTTTTGCTTCGTTGCAGTCTCCATCGGAGCAGCTAGAGCCATTATAGTTATAGAAATAAGTTTCACAAAGAGGGAGAGTTCTGGTTTGAGGTTGGCTGGGATCCTGAGGTTGTTGACGTCACTTTGACTAAAGAAGCAAGAAGACATTCCACTATGCCACCTATGATTTTACTTAACATGGTTTCTCCTGAGGATCCGGTCATAGTTGTGGCTAGCAACCTTAACCTACCACGGTAGTTTAGATGGACGTGGTGATAGAGAAACCATGTTCCATTTACAGAGGCAGAGGAGGAAGGCGAACAACAGTGCCCTTTCTTCATATTTTTCTAAGAAAAACTATCTTATTTTAGTTATTATATAAAAATATTATTTTTTTATTGATATTAAGGGCAAAAAATTGCCTTTAATTGTTAGAAACCCTTGATTCTACTATTATTATTATTATTATTATTATTATTATTATTATTATTATTATTATTATWWTATTATTATTATTATTATTATTATTATTATTATTATTATTATTATTATTATTATTATTTCAAATGTCAACGCTGAACCCATTTAGAACCATTATTTAAATAAAATTCTATATACGTGAATTGGTTAAATAATATTCTATATTATTTAAACAATATTCTATATGTCTTTCTTTTTAAAGGATGCATAGGGGTGCTCATTGTTCAATAAATCGAACCATGGTTTTTTTGAAATCAAATCGGTCCTATCGATTTCTCCATATCTCCAAACTGAAACTGAACCAATATATACCACCGGTTTACTGGTTGGCTGGCTTCAATTTTTGACTAGTTCAGTTCTTTGATTTTTTTTTTTTTATATTTATAACGTATATCATAAATAGGTATATTTAATATATTATATTATAAATAATAAATGACATACAATATATTATAAATATGTATATTACATTATAAATACTACATATAATATGTAATCTATTTATAATATAAATATAGTATATGTATATATATTTTTATACATATATATATTTATATATAATATGTTAGATATATTAAAAAATATATGTATATATATATAGACATATATTGATTAATTGTTGGTTTTTTTTAGATTAATCGAAAGCAAACTGATCCTTCAGTTTTTCAGAAATGCCGAACCGAGACCGAATGGATCAGCTTAATTTGTTTGATTCATTTCAGTTTTTCGATTTTTTTTGAACACCCCTATGCATGCATTCTCTATGTATACATTTGTAATCTGGCGTGTGACAAAAAAGATATATGCTTGGACCAGACTTTAAGGTTTTAAGCATGGGCGTTGGGGGCCAACAGTTTGGGATGTTGAGAGAGTTTCTGAAAAGAGAGTGGATAAATTAGTAATTATATTCTAATTTATGTGAGTAAATTACAGTATGTGACAAAGACCCCTATACTTTGTTTTGCCACAAAGACCCTCTTCTTACTATCACCGTGAGACAATTATCCTCTTTCGTTAGTTTTTCGTTGAAATTTGTCATTGCAATTCCTTCATCTTCCCCAATTCACCATACACGAACAACAGATGCACATTTCTCTCTCTCTCTCCCTCTCTCTCCTCCGATCTCGCTTCTTCCTCTATAAGGAACGCTCCAAAACCCAAATGCAACTGAGTCCTATTCTATTGTCCGCTGGACTGATGGAAGAATGGGCAAAGATGAGAGGAGAGAGAGTATGTGTGTATCTCGTCAAATACGATGGAAGTCGTTTTCATGGAGGCAGCGATGAAGTTTCAGGAGACAGAGTATGTGTGTGTCGCCTCTGTAAATTTGTAAGGTCAATCTAAGAGAACCAAAAACAGACGAAGACGAAAACGAAGATATGAAGAAGATCTCTTACTGTTCTTCTCTTCTTCTTCCACTTCCAAGTTCCTAGTGGAATCCCTTTTAAAGCACCAAATCAAAGCTTACGACATTTCCGCATTTAGGAGGAGAATCCACTATCGTGTTTCTTCTCCTTATCATCTTCTCTCTCCTGAAACTTGATCGCTGCCTCCATGAAAATGACTTCCATCGTATTTGACGAGACACACACTCTCTCTTCCTCCGAACCGGAGAAGGTGCGACACGTGATGAACTACGATTCTATCAACAAGCCAACTAACACAGTAACACTAATATTGTTCTTCGCTGAGATTTATTCTTTCAAGTTTTTCCCCTACACTTCCTGGAGTAAGCTATTAGAATCAGAGCGTGTGACAGGTGCGGACAGAGCATGAAACACCGCTGCGATAATGGCTTATGGAAAGGGAAAGGTAGGGAGCTTTCTGATTTTCTATTTGACCTGAAGAAGGTCTCGCACCTCCTGGAGCTCCAAAGTTTGGGAGAATTAAAACTCTTTCGAGCAGATCTAACTGATGAAGGGAGCTTCGATGCCGCTGTCTCTGGATGCGAAGTGGCATTCCACGTCGCTACTCCAGTCCACTTTGCTTCTCCGGATCCTGAGGTCTTCAACGCACAACTGCTCTGTCTCAACAACAATTATTGCTTTTCATTTTTTTTTTCAAGTTAATAACAACTAAGGATTAATTTAGAGTGAATTGTTTAAAACTCCCAAATTAATGTTGTTGATTGAAACAGAATGACATGATGAAACCAGCAATTCAGGGAAGGTTAAATTTTGCCAGAGACTCCACAATTCCGCCCGGGACGAAGTGATTCGCTCCTGGAAACATGTGAAGGACAAAACTGGGGAGAACATTGGAGGAATTGTGGAAGAAAGCACAGAATTGACTGAGGCTTTGTGTTCTTTAAGTAACCATTGTTTTATTTTACTTATAGGGCCTTGAGATCCTTGTTTGTGTTTCTGGCCGAGCAGCCTGGTCAGCTGAGGTATATAGAGTGGCCAAGCTTTCAAAGCACGGTTTATTCCATTACTTTGGCCAGCCTTTTGGTGCAGCATTTATTTTATTGTAATAGTGATCGTAGGGATTGTATGCAAAAGAGCATGCCCCATTTATTACATTTTGTGTTAAACTAGGAATTGTTTGGATTCTAATTGTGCTAAACTATTGGTTCCCCTTGGGCTCAGTTTGGAAGGAGTACAAATGCAAATTTGTAGAGTGCAAAACCTTATATTTTGTATGTATTTGCACCTTACATATTTGCATTTCTAATCCTTTCAAACTGAGCCTTGGTGACATTTGTTGTGTACTGGTAGGCCTTTACCCATTTTTCTATTTTTATAAAATCCTTCTTGTTTTTTAAGGTTGTGTTTGGTTTGAAGGAAAAGGTTGGGAAACCTATACAAGGTTTGCACAATTTTCTCTTCCTTTCCCTACCTTTTTCCTTCAAACCAAACACAGCCTAAATGTGCTGAATAAAAGGGAATTTTAGTGATTTTCTGTTACTTTGTTGCATATTTGGTGATTCTCATCTCATTTTTAATTGTCAACTGTTTGACGACTACCTTACTTTGTATACTATAAGATATCTTGCATGACATGGTCTTGGCAGCAGTAAGTATCCCAGTTCATGGAAGTGAAAGAACTGGATATAAATTAGGGTAAGAAGAAATAAGAAAGGTATTGGAGAACTAAGAAATTCCAAGAACCATAGTGTACGGGTTACACTTGACCTGCCTTCTTACAGATTGGAGGTACAAAATCTGCATTAAAAGGATTAACTGGGATGCCAAGGAACAAAAATTAAATATTAATTCAGCCTGGTGTCATAAAGGAGTAGAAACCAGACCATATTATGGCAGATAAAGTAGGTTTTCACCTTCTTCAGTGCTCTTAGTTATTATGGAGACTAGATCTCTGGTCTCTAGAATGAACAGCTTTTTAGATGGGTTAGAAGATCAGTCAATACCCTAGTAGATTCACTTGCAATAGAAGGAGAAATTTGGGTTGAATTGTATTGGAGGTCTGCACTCCTAGGGTTGATTGATGAGTCTTTTATGCATATGGGGTGGGTGAGCTTTGTGGTTCAACTTTACTCCAGTTGGGAGATTCATATATTTATTCCGATTATACCTTTGGATAATGTTTCAATATCTGTTAATGATAAAAAACCATGTTAGAGAAAATACAAATCTGAAGTTCAAAATCCAAGCTATTTACTATATATCAATAACAAATTATAGAAATATTTATATACTCATTAAGATTACTACAAAGTGCTGGAGCCTGGTGAATGTTAATTTTGAACTTCATTTTCCCTGTTATCACTCCCCACTGCAATCGTCTATTCTTTGAAATCTACCTTAATAGCTTGCTTTGAGAAGCATGGATCCTTGATTTAGTTTCTGTTCTGGCATCATTCTCACTCCAAAACCTCAACAATGCAGACACAATTAAGGATGCCCATATTAGCTACTGTGTTTCTATTGTGACTGCCACTGGTGAAATGGTTATATTTTTTCCTCTTTATTCATTAACTATTTTAAATGTTATCCAAAACTCATTTCTTATTTAGGGATTGTTTGATAAAAGCTGACATGGCAGAGCTAAATGACTTATTGCTTTGTCTTGTAGACTTGTAGTTGATAAAATAATGAAATAACGAAACACTTGATCTTATAGTAAGCAACCTATCTTCATTTCCAACCAGTTATTCGGTTTAGCCATTTCAGCTGTTATCATATGGCCTCTTAGGACGTTTAGCCATTTCTCTATCAATGTTTCTTTTTGTTGGAGATTGATTTCTCTGGTCAAATATAATGAGCAAATAGGCAGGCAATGGGGATACTTTTAATCCTTATGGGAGGGAGAATACCATAGGTCTTTAGTCATCTGTTGGGGATATCCTGAAAATTAAAATTAGGGTGCTTCTAATTAATGGGTGAACACATCACCAAGCAGCTCTGGTTGGGAAACAAAGGCTGTAATTCCTATCCTAGGCCCTATCGACTCTAACTCTTTTATGTTTGCATAACAAAGATTATAAACTAGATGCTCGATAACTATTTTCTTGCATACTTGTAATCTATATTAACTTATTTATGAGATTGCATTCTATGAGCTAGTCAGTGCCTAGGCACCAATTAGTCATCATATTGTCATAATCTTCTTGACGAAGATTTTTTATTACTTATGCACTGAATTCCACATAATGTCATAATCTATAGTCTGGAAAGTATTCATGGGTTTGAACTCTGTTTCCTGTTGGATGTTCTCTTATATGTAATCCAAGTTTGATCTCTAGACATTACTATGATCTTATAAGTCTTTGTGATTTTTCACCTGTAATAGTTTGCTAGACTTTTCTGGGTTTTTGTAGTCTCTCGTTCTTTTTTTTTTTTTAATTATTGCCTGCATGGTGAAATTTTCAGATAAGCAGTAATTAATACAAGAAAGAGTAATATCCAATGTTCAGAAAACCAGACCGGGCATAGAAGCAGAAGAGGGAGAGGCTCATGGGTCAGAGATTCAATCGTGGTCAAACCGGAGGTTGAACCATGATGACGTATATATCACATAAATTGTTAAATACTCTATATACTATATTTTACATAAAGCTACACTTGAATGTGGTGGATAGATGGCAAGTTCCCCATTTTTTTAAAGCAAATAACTCGGGCTCAAAGCTTCTTTAACTTCTTTAAAATACGAATGTATTAAAGCAATATATACATTAAAGAGGCATAAATAAACACAAATAAAGGAATGGCATAATGCTAACAAGACATTACACATGAATAAAAGGTCATGGATTAAACCATCAGCTAGTTTTGATTGGTTTTTCATGAATTCTGATTCCTATGGTATGGCCAAACCAGCCAAGGGGTTAGGTCACAGTTTGACCAGTCCAGTTTGGCGAAACAATTTGGTTTGTTACATAAGAAAAGCCAGTTTGGACCTTAACACCACCAGAACCTGTTGCTATTCTTCAAAGGTTGTGACATGTATAATTTACCAATGCAAGTGGGGGAAAATATCCTTCACGTTCTCTTCATTATTGAAAATGACTGAATGGTCTTTCTTCATCACAAGAAGCAGTTTGTGAAACTTTGGTTCTTGCTTTTTGCTTCCACGATATGCTTAACATATTTACTTTAAGGTGTGATAATGAGACACTTTCAATTGAATGTCCACAAATTCAGGTTTTTACACCTCATAGATCTGAATGCAATCGATTAGGAGATTATTATCAAATTATTAAACTGAGCATTACAATATTACCCCTACTAAACAACATGACCATGCCGTATCCTTAAGAAAGCAAATATATTTGGGTGATTTTTTTTTTTTTTAACTTCATTGCTAAGGTGGGTAACTGTAAGTTAAGTTTTATGGAACCCTCCACTCCCTTTCTTTCTCCTGTGTTTATGTATGTAAATTGCTTATTAAAATAGAGTAACCTCTGAAGGATTTATCCATCTTGTGATATGTTAACCACTGGTCTTACCAAGGTTTAAAATGTCGATGTCGGTGGAAATATCAGCCATCAAAATATAAGAAACATGTCGGAAATATCGTATGGAAATATTATAAAAATTATAGACATGGTAGAAGCATTTTAAAATATGTTGTCGTGCACACTAACATTTCAAACATGTCGTTGTGCACACTATGTTTTCAATTTCTCGAATGATTCCTATAGTGAATCAGCAGCTTTTAATGGAGGAGTTAGCTCTCCTCCAATACAATTTGGGAATTCCAATTTTGGCAATACTTCTGTATTTGATCCAACATGGTATCCGGACTCGGGTCTACTCATCACATGACACCAGAATTGGATAATTTACAGAATCGATTTGAGTACGGAGGATCAAATCAAGTTAAAATCGGTAACGGGCAAGGTTTGCGCATACATCACATTGGTTCATCTTCTCTTTTATTTGATCAACATGCCTTTACATTAAAGGATAGCTGTCATGTTCCATCTTATTTGCAAGAATTTATTATCCGTTAGTCGTTTTATACATGATAATGATGTGTTTTTTGAATTCCACCGTGATTATTTCTTTGTAAAAGATTACTCGGGGAGAATAGTTCTACACGGGGTCAGTAGAGATGGGCTATATTACTTCCTGTCTTCGACATCAATATCTTTAACTCCAGAAGCTCTTGTTGGTGAATGAACACCCATTAATGGTTGGAATTTGCGTCTTGGGCATGCAGTGTTTTGCACCGTGCAACAAGTTCTCTCTCAGTATGGTCTCCCCTATACTTTCAATAAGTCTAGTCAATTGTCTGTGAGTCGTGTCAAATGGGAAAGAGTCATAGATTGTCTTTATCTTCATCTTGTTTTCAGTTAAAGAGTCCTCTAGAATTAATTTATTCTGATGTGTGGGGTCTAGCCCCGGTTAAGTCTAATAGTGGTCATTTTTATTATGTTTTTTATGAATGATTTCTCAAAATTCTCTTGGTTGTATCCTAGGACACGAAAATCGGAAGTTTTTGATATTTTTTTTGAAATTTAAGAGACAAGTTGAAGTTCTCTTTAATGCCAAAATCCGTTGCTTCCAATCTGATTGGGGAGGCGAGTATTGGAAACTATCCGACTACTTGGACTCTCAAGGCATTACTCATCGTCTTGCATGCCCTTACACACATGAACAGAATGGCTCCATTGAACAGAAGCACAAGCATGTCATCGAATCAGCTTTATATTTATTGTCCAGCTCGAATCTCCCCCTATTCTTCTGGACGGATGTAGCGGAAATTGCAGTATACTTAATTAATCAACTTCTAACTCCCACTCTCAATGGTGTGTTGCCTTACGAAAAGCTCTTTCAAAGAAGCCCTGACTACTACATGATCT